GAACATTCCATTGAACCAGCTCCAGCTGAGACGCTCTTCCGTGATAAGAAATGGACTAATATTTAAGATTCGACCAGCAGTACTGGTCAATATGCCGGTCAAGTTCAATATAATCTTTCGACCTTCTCTTCGCAATCAGCTTTCGTAAATTGGAAATAAGTCGTCATCGAGCCTCCAGTAAAGCTTCAAATTCTTAACGAAGGCGCAGGTTCGATCACTTCGACTGCTGCATGCACTACTGATCAATTGGGGCCTAAGGCTGGAGCGTGGTAATTCATTGACAGTGTTCAAGTCGTTATTGATGGAACCACTGTCCAAACGAATCACGTTCATGAGAATGTGAATACAACGTTCAAGGCTATCACTGAAACGGATTATAATACTTATGTCAAACATGGCCCAACTAGCAACTTTGTATTGGATAAATATTCTACTCGAATCGCGGAGCCACCGAACGATCGCTTTTTACCGCTCTTGATCAACAAAGCACGAAGGTTGCATTTGATGTGATGGGAGGCAGTGCAAATCTTCAAGCCGTATCGAAACCCCAAGTTCACGTGGCTCTTGCTGGTGCCGTTGCAGCTATTTCGCCATTTTACGTCGCGCATTACTTGGTTTGCATTAAGTTGCGGGCTATTTCAAGCGATGTCCAATGAAGAAGAATACTCGCGGATTCATTTACCTCAATTACAACAATTCATCTACTACTTTGATTACAACTGGCACTGCTGGTGTTGTTGGGCCTACTACAATTGCTTGAGCAACAATATGTATTTTGGCAACACCTGCCCAGTACCTTGGAATTCAAACAGTGGTGTAGCGTCTTCTGCTTTGGCTGGTGGCCTTGCGCTTCCTGCATCTGCGGCCACGCTTACTATTACTGCCGACGTCAATGGAACTCATACTACTGGAACTGGTATCACTCCTTCTCAATCGTTCTCGCGTCTTCTCGTTCCAACCTACTCGACTAATCCCAGCACCGATCATGCATTGATTCAGAAGAAAACCTTCCGATACTTTGAGCGAATCACAAATAAATTTGCTGTTGCTCCAGTCGCTTCCTTCACTTGGACGGTCAGCAATGGCATTGCTAATCCCAAACGTTTGATAACCGCAGGTGCGACTGTATCAGATATGATTAATCTCTTCCGTAGCCCATTTTCGACATTACCTGCTACGACACGTCCATTTGCTACATTGAAAAATCTGCAGATCACATTTGGAAAGGTCCCTATCTGGAACAACTCCGTGAGTTTCGAATATGATTTTCTCGTGCAAGAGATGTCAAAGTCAGGCTGTGATGGAGGTCTTGATGATGTTGTCTTGGCTGGTTGGCTATCTCAGCGGCAATGGGAATCACTTTATCGATTTGATGCTGTTGATATTGGTCGTCGTCTTCCAAGTGAAGATGGTGCAAGCAGGAATATTATCGTGTCTGCTGCAACTACGCTCTCACCATTTATTACCACGTATTGTGTGAGGTTGTAGCAATAACTTCGTAATGTAATTGTATCGACCACACTTTTTTAAATCATCTTCAATATACGTGGCCTATTCAAAATCAATCTTGAGTGAGTCGTAATTCATCTTTTTAAAAGTCGGGTATTTGAAGAATAAACAAGTTACTATAAAACACGGTAAGAGACATGAAGTTTTACACCAGGACATGAACTTAGACTTGCCAAGTGGAAACTTGCTATCATCTTGCATACACTAAATGAGAAGTCAAGCAAAAGTTAACATACAC